GTTGGCAAGGTATGATGCAGTGACCATAGAATGGTACGGTCTCTAATTTACCTAGACTTGAAGAAGGAACGACAGAAACTGATACGCAAGAAGCCAATCAATGAGCTAGCGCTGAGAGGGAAAGTACAGGAATTCAGAGTCTCACTTCAAACAGTACTCGGCTCTTAGTGAGGAAACCAACCTCAGCGTTGATACAATGAATGATAATCTGACGAGTATCATTACAGAGTGTGCAGTGAAAGTTGGAGACAGGGTAGTTACACAGGACACTGACAAGCTTTCCCAGAAATCAAAGAATCTCATTAATAAGCATCCAAATCATGAAAGTCTCAAATAGAACAGACAAAATAGAACTGGCAGAGCTTTCGAAGTTGATTAATAGGCGTAAGGTATGCGATATAAGAAGGTTATACATAGAAGAATTGAACACGCTCTGAAAAACGGAGGTAGCGTCAAAGCAGGTGAAGAGGAAACTAGGGATAGGCAAAATTTGGATGTGTGCACTAAGGACAAAGAAGGCAAAATAACTACAATATGGATAGGATTGTTAAAATAGCGGAGGATTTTTACAGAGATCTGTACAGTAGCCAGGACAACCTCGACCTTAATACTGTAAGAACTAGCAGTAACCCAGATGACACCCGCCCAGTAATGATAGATGAAGCCAGAAAGCTTTGGAGAGCATGCAAAGAGGCAAAGCTGCTGGTGAGGATCAGGTAACATCAGATCTGCAGAAGGATGGAGGACAAATTGTGTTAGAAAAACTAGCTACACTGTTTACCAGGTGTCTCCTGATGGGAAGAGTACCAGAGTCTTGGAAGAATGCTAACATCATTTTAATACATAAGAAAGGAAACGACAAAGACTTGAAGAATTACAGGCCGATCCGCTTGCTCTTTTCAGTATACAAGCTATTTACAAAGGTAATTGCTAGTAGAGTAAAGAAACATTAGAATTTAATCAACCAAAGAAACAAGCAGGATTTCGTACAGGCTACTCAACAATCTACCACATTCATACTGTCAATCAGGTACTAGAGAAATGCTCAGAATATAACCAACCACTATACATAGCCTTCATAGATTACGAGAAGGCGTTTAATTCAGTAGAAATATCAGCCGTCATGCAGACACTGCGGAATCAGGGTGTAGATGAAGTATATGTAAACATTCTGGAAGAAATCTACAGGGGATCAACTGCTACCATAGTGCTTCATAAAGAAAGCAACAGAATACCAATCAAGAAGGGTGTAAGGCAGGGGGACACAATCTCCCCAATGCTATTTACCGCGTGCTTACAGGAGGTTTTCAGAAGCCTAGATTGGGAACAGTTAGGGATAAGAGTTAATGGAGAGTACCTTAGTAACCTGCGCTTCGCCGATGACATTGCATTGCTGAGTAACTCAGGGGACGAATTGCAACTCATGATTACGGAGTTAGACAAGGAGAGCAGAAAGGTGGGTCTTAAAATTAATCTGCAGAAAACGAAAGTAATGAACAACAACCTCGGAAAAGAGCAGCGCTTCGAGGTAGGTAATAGTGCACTTCAAAATGTAAAAGACCATGTCTACTTAGGGCAGGTAATAACCGCAGAGCCGAACCATGAGATTGAAGTAACTCGAAGAATAAGAATGGGGTGGAGCACATTCAGCAAGCACTCAAATTATGACAGGTAGATTGCCACTATCCCTCAAGAGAAAGGTATATAACAGCTGTATCTTGCCAGTACTTAGCTATGGAGCAGAAACCTGGAGACTTACAAAGAGGGTTCAGCTTAAATAGAGGACGACGCAGCCCAGCAATGGAAAGAAAAATGGTAGGTGTAACCTTAAGAGACAAGAAGATAGCAAAGTGGATTAGGGGACAAACGGGGGTCAAGGATATCATGTTGAAATCAAGAAGAGGAAATGGACATGGGCCGGGGGAAGGTAGCGCATAGACAGGATAACGCTGGTCCTTAAGGGTAACTAACTGGATTCCCAGAGAAGGCAAGCTGGTTAGGGGAGACAGAAGGTTAGGTGGGCAGATTAGATTAAGAAGTTTGTGGTATAAATTGGCAGCAGCAAGCACAGGACCGGATTAACTGGCGGAACATGGGAGAGGCCTTTGTCCTGCAGTGGATGTAGTCAGGCTGATGATGAATTTACTAGTTTGGACTGCTTCACTTTCTAGCTAGGTTTAAAGAAAGAACTGTTACATTAGGGCAGACAGCTTCCACTCAAGAATTTTGTTTTTGTTCAGTACATACATATTTTTATGTTAATATTGTGCGAGTTGGGCAAAAATGTTGATTTTAGCAGTTTTGAGGGCTTGTGTCATGGGATTGTAACTTCTGACTTGGCAACACTGCAGGGGACATGAGCTGCTCTTTCTGGCATGAAGGGGCTGGCGCGAATGGTCGTCTCTTGGCCGGGTTTTGTGGCCTGCGGTAACCCCAGGTCGTGTGCCGTGGGTTCCTCACGATGAGTCGAACATTGGTGACGCCACGTTACCTTCTGTTTGTATTTATGTTGATTGAGTGATTGGAATATTGTATAAGGTTGTTTTAGCGTTGTCACTAATTATGCATTTGATCCAGCTAGAGATATCATTGATGTAAAGTAATCGAATGAATGTACACAGTGTTTGGTTTGGTTCAATCGCATCTGCTGTGTCCATTCGTTTTGAGAGAGTGGATCTTACATTCCAAGACCCCACAATAGGTGTCCACATGTAGAAAAATAAGATCAGTTGTAAGCTGGCACTGTCGCTGCGCTTTCTTCATCTCGTGCGTCCTCCCAGAATTTTTCGTTGTTATAAAGGGGCCATCACAATTTTTTATCAAAATTTGTTATTTGGGGTTAATCCTTGCATCTTCAAAAACTCCCTGCAACAGTTTTTGAGCACAGACAGCAAATGCTGCGGATCAGTATTAGAGGTTACCGAGAACACGCAAGTCAAATATCATTGTGCAGCACCGCCCCCCCCCCCCCCCACAGCCGGGATTTCACAATAAATTCTCAAAGTCGCCTAAAATTATTTTCTCCTCTTTAAAAATGAACAAACAAGCTCAAAAATCACTCATCACAGCCGTTGTATCAGCCAGTGGCTGATTCGAGCATGGCCAATTCGGTCATTAGAGGTTCTGCCGCAGAAGGCTGCGACATGTCTACACGTGGCCACACGATTGCACTGAAAAGTCGCATATTTGCAGATGATTTTATAACCTCCAGTCACAGTTTCGGCTGCAGAGAGCTCAGAGTGAGGCGATATCCAGAATGGTTTACATGTAAACATAGCTGGCTACCTAAAATGTTTGCACATGAGCATGCGCTGACAAATATTATGAACAAAGGCTACCTCCAAAACGTCAATAGGCATGACCCCCAAAAATGCACTGCCATGGCAAGGACATCAGCCGTTGTACTCTCATGCAAGTCTGCCCTCTCTTTCTGTTAAAGAGGTCTTCTAGGAGAGAGCGCTCACAAGGATGGCGGCAGACAACACAAACTCATGATTCAGGCAGCAGTTGACAGTGTATACGAAAAGTAAGGCATGCTTCACATGTGGTGTCGTAGCACAATCTTTAAAATTGATTTTAATTATGTGTCTCATTACATTACCCATTGCTATTTCATTGATGATACTTAAGTGTTTCCCCAAATTATCTAGTCTTCATAATTTTGTGTCAACACTCTTTTAATATAGGCTGATGATGATCAGAAGCAGACACGAGTGAATGGTTGTTAAGAAAAATGGCACAGCATCTGAACACACTGACAAGCTATGTGCAACACAGAAATTCATATGAACCAATCAAGAGCTGCTGTGGATGAAGAAGTCCACTCAAAACAGAGGGGCGGCTTCTGTGATGTGCCCCTCATGTACACCTGATAGCAGCGCCTGTGTAAACCCAACACACGATCTATGCTGGTGCCTGAAAAGATAAGGTGCTCTCATGATTCTGAAAACAAGATGGAGATTAGGGAACACTCAGCCATGGAGAATTCGCGAAGAAACATAGGTGCCTACGAAACTGCAAAGTAGCTAAGAATTACACTTCAAAGCTGTCGTGATTTTGGGGCATTTAGTAACGGCAGGTCACGGAGACATAATAAATGTGTCATGGAAAAGGACCAAGCATTCGCATGAGCAGCTGTTAGCACATCTACCACTTCAAACATCATTTGCAAAACATTTTTGGCAACGGCAGGTACTAGCATGAATGAGGCATGCCTGAAGACATAATAGATTTTAAATGCGAAGCATTTCTTAGCGAATATCGGCCTCTTTGGAAAAATTTACCTATTTAGCCGCCTACGACTATGCTCTCCTGACCAGATCGCTAATGGAATGCATACGAAAATTGGTACGGCATAAGATGCCCCTCGAGGAACATAAATGTCAGGTCATATCATGAAAATCATGACGCACATGTCATGAATGGCATGTTTTACAAGCCATGGCCTTGGTGCTTTCGCTGCCATTTCGGTACTTGATATATATACCAAAATTGGCATGATGACGCGTATCTGTATGACTTAACATAAATGACAAATGGTACTATGAAAATCATGACTTGCATGCCATGCTCGTAGTGCGTTCGCGGCTGTTTCGCTAGCTATATAGAAACGTCCCATATTGTGACTGCGTGACGAACATTTTTGTTGTCAAGATAAAGGTTACACAAGTAGGCCACTCATAAAGCTCAACTTTAACACGAAGGCAAAATAGCAGCACCAACCAATTTTTGCACGACGTCGTCGAGCATGCAAGCAGCGTCGCAGAGTTTGAAAGCCGAGACTCTCATCATAAGAAAAAAAACAAGGCAACACGAAACCGTTTCCTGCGTCCAGCCACGCGTCAATGCGCACGCAAGCTTTCGCCGAGCCAATGGTTTTGCTCACCACAAACCTTTTCTTGACGCGTTTCACTTGGCAAATCGAGCGATACGAAACAATGCACCCGCCTGCCGTGGTATGCGCTTCACTGTAAGCACTGTAGGCACGCAACTGATCTCACCTCAGCACCCTCTTCGCAAAGAGCACTGCCGTTGAAAGGAGGCGAGCAGTTTACCGCTTCGAAGCGATGCGACAATCTCGACGATCGTAGGGTATTCAGTAAAGACACCAGCACCTCACTAGCGTTTCCTGCGAGCCTGTTATAAATGGACGGTTCGTACCGCCACAGGGCAAGTTCGGCAAGCCGTGTGACGTCCTCAAGTTCGGTGGCGGCATTGGCCAGCTGAAAGCTGCAGAGTACGAGCAACAGCGCGAGCGGCACATTACTGCACTGTTGGTCCACTCGGTACGACGCGCGGTGAGGATCGTTTGAAATATGCTGCCACCGCAGTATAAAACGCGGCGCCGTCCTCCAACGCACACAGGCCCTCCGCAACATCGCGCTCGCACGCGGCGTGAAAAAATCAGCGGCGACAGCCACTCATGCCGACCTTTAAACACGGCCCGTGTCGACGCGCGAACGGAAACCACACGCGCACCCGCCGCCGCGTCACACACGACACGATGCGAGCACTTGGCCAACTTCACGCCGACAGCCGTTTTCCGCCAGAAAACCGACTCGTCGAAAAACTCCCGAAAAACCCAGCATCACCTTTGCCATTGGCAGTAGTGGGATACACGACATCTGGTTTCGGTTTTACGCGCGCGCAGTCTGAATACGTCGGACATGAACTTACTTACAACGCAACACCAAAAAAAAAAAAAAAAAAAAGAGAGGACAGGGAAGGAGCAAAAAAAAAAAAAAGAAAGACGGCGCTGACTCACAACTGTTGTTTATTGAAAAAAACGGGGTGAAAAGTATATATATAAGTACTGGCAGCCTACATCACAACATGCGCAAAATACAAGGTGCACCGAGGTAGGGTTGTCACACTCATGGCAATAAACAAGATTGGCCTAAATAACTTAATTCTTTTTCTTGCAGTGTGACGGATAGTTCACTAACGCACTTGCTACCCCTAATCTTTATATGATATGCCTCAGCGATTTTTCTTGTTAGCTGGTTAGGATACTTGAAGATGATGGTGGTTCTCTCAAAAATGGGACGACAACCGCATAACCTGCAATGTTCCGGCAGATGAAGTCGCGCGATCCCTTGAAGAGGTAACTCATGCTCCCTTAAACGAACATTCACACATCGTTTTGTTTGTCCCACGTAATCCCTACCACACGATAATGGAGTTAAATACACAGCTTTTTTTACCCATGCGATGTACTTGTTCTTATGATTCACAAAGCATCTCCCTTTGGCTTGTTTCTCCTCAGCGCATTATCAACCACCGGGCAAATGTGACCTACCTTATGTTTGGCGGAAAAAGTAACGTCGACACCATACCTTGAGCCTAAATTTTTTAGCCCATGCGCCAATTTGTGTACATAAGGAAAAAACTGCTCTTTTTCTTTTTCCATCAGAATTTATCTTCAGCTCCTCTGTGTTTCACGAGCTTAACGCTCCGAACCATCGACTCACACACAGACGAAATCACCTTGTCGGGATACCCAGCATCTACTAAGTGTTTCACCTGGTTATGAAAAGCAGTATTCGACACGTGCACACAGGATTTCCTGAGCGACTCATTTAAGATTGTCTTTGCAATCGCCCTCTTCACAATCTTAGAATGGCCAGACTTGTAGTTTAAGATAGGCTTCACTGATCTTGGGTCATATTTCCAACACACATGGTTTTTACCAAAGATGAGATTTAGGTCAAGAAACTGTAGCTCGCAATCCTTACAGACTTCGTAAGTGAAGGTGAGGCCTATACCATGCTGACTGAACAGCTTGAGAATGTGATCAATGTCCTTATGGTGAATGTAATTGTGGGAAAAAAAAATTACAAAATCGTCGACGTAACGAAAAACAGCACTGCAGCACTTACTAAGGTGACCTTCCAGCTGCCTGTCAATGTAGCCTAAAATAATGTCACTAATAATAGGGGCCACACTCGACCCTATGCGGACACTAGACTTTTGTACATAAAGATCCCCCCCGCCACGACACAAAGGCACTTTCAAGGTAAAATGACAAAAGTTCAAGAAATGATTCCTAAAGAAATACTGCAACCATCGATGAAAGATTCTTCATCATTGTCAAACACAATGCAGGCTTTTACGCATTTCATAACCTGGCAATGTGGAAGAGAATAATATAAATTTTTCACGTCGACACTGAAGGCGCTACGTAGGCTCATCGAGTTATTTTTGAGGTACTCGCACACAGAATCCGAATTTAGATTATAAAGGAAAGACTGCAGGCATGGATAGAGGATGAGGGGGTGCTGGGAGAACTGCAGAATGGGTTTCGAAAACACAGGAGGTTGGAAAACAATCTGTTCTCACTGACGCAGTGCATCGAAATAGCAGAAAAGGAACACATGCCCCTGTGGCTAGCATTTTTAGATATCAAGGGAGCGTACGATAGCGTGGTTCAAGAGGACTCGTGGGGAATACTGGACACACTAGGTGTGAAAGATGCAGTCACTAATCTTTTAAAGGAAGTCTATCAAAGTAACAAGGTAGTTATAAAGTGGGAAAAACAGGTATCCAAGCCTGCAGAGGTGAAACAGGGGCTTAGGCAGGGTTGTCCTTTGTCACCCTTGCTATTAATGACGTACCTACAAGGATTAGATGCCAAATTAGAGAGAAGTGGACTTGGCTTCAACCTCTCTTTCATCAAACAAGGAAAACTCATTGATCAGGCACTACCAGCTAGCATTGAGGTACGCAGATGATATAGTGCTAATGGCCGACAACAAGGAAGATTTGCAGAGATTGATGGACATTTGCGGTAATGAGGGAGATAGGTTAGGTTTCAGATTCAGTAAAGAAAAATCAGCAGTCATGATTTTTAATGACAATGAAGGTAGTGAGCTTAGAATACAGGAGGTCACTATCTGGGCGCATGGATAAGCAATGGGGCCTAGTACGTAAGGGAACAAGAAACATACGTGTGGTGTTTGCGAAAGACGTAAGAAACACCGGCAGCACCACCGTACAAAAAGACGTTTATTATACGCAACACATCGAATATATACATAAAAGACAGACGCGCTCCCTGGGGGTGAAAGAATACAAAGTGAAAACCGAAACTGAATATAACAATACGTGACGACTAAAGGTAACAGGAATGCAGTGGTAATGAAAAACAGGGCACCGTGGAATTACAATAGGTATGATGTTGAGAGGAATATAGAAAGGGGTCATGGTTCCTGGTCTGACGTTCGGCAATGCGGTCTTGTGCATGAGATCAGAACTTCAAACAAGTTTAGAAATTAAGCAACGTGAAATAGGTAGGCTTACTTTAGGAGCTCACGGTAATACACCAAATCAGGGAGTAAAAGGTGATATGAGATGGACATCATTTGAGGGCAGGGAAGCTAGCAGCAAAATAAAATTTGAGAAGCGATTGAGAGAAATGGAGGAGGAGCATTGGGCTAGGAATGTTTTCAGCTACTTGTACATGAAGAATGTCGATACAAAATGGAGGAAGCGAACCAGGAAATTGACTGGCAAATACTTAGAAAGCAGCAGGTGGCCAAACCAAAAAAGAACTATCGGTGAAGAAGAAAGTGAAGGAAACAGAGACTGAAATGTGGAAAGTTGGCATGATTAAGAAGTCCGCACTAGAGATCTATTGAACTTTTAAGCATGAACTTTGCAAGGAAAAAATCTATGATAATACTCGAGGTAGTTCTCTACCGTTTGAAGCCAGGGCGGGAGTATTGCGAACCAAGACATATCGGGCCATATACGAAGGGGTAGAGACAGTATGCAGTGCGTGTGGAGAGGAAGAATAAACTGCCGAACACTTGGTAATGTTCTGTAAAGGGCTTCACCCTAGAGTTCAGGATGATGGCGCAGAGTTTTTCAAAGCACTGGGGTTTAGGGACAGGGAGGGCAAAATAGACTTTAAGCGGGTAGACTTAACTAGAAGGAGGTTATCTGATTGGTGGCTAAAGTCAAGGCACGAGTGAAAATAAACCCTTCACTGCAAAGTACGAATCCTCAACTTCACTATTAAAAATAAAAAAAAGATAAATCTAATGGTTAGTTCACTAAGTATTACGGGTAGGTGGCGTTAGCAGGCGCCCAATCTAAAGGGTACAGCCACATCCATCCATCCATCGTGTGCACTTGTTTCGCTTTCTTTGTTCCTTTGGCGCCGTGCATAGGTGTTCTCTGGTTGTTCCGTGCCGTACAGCTCTCGCGTCGTTTTTCAGGTGTTGTGTATGTGTGCTTGTGCTGCTTCATACTTGCGTCATGTTGAAGCTGGGACAAAAGCATCGAGTGCTGAAAATAGAGGAGAAATTTGACATAATTCCTTCTATTGAAAGTGGCACGAAAAAATCGGCGCTGGCACGCGAAAAGGACCTGCCATTAACCACGGTGTGTGGAATTTGGAATTCCAAAGAGAAGTTGCTCGACAGTGCTGCTGCAACTGCGAAAAGGTGCCGGCTATGCGGTTCAGCGTTTTCGGATGTAGAGGAGGCGCTGGTGAAGTGGTTAAAATCTGCCTATGACCCCTGCTCATGGAGAAGGCCCTGGTTTTTGCCTCGCAGCTCAACCATGACAACTTCGTGTGCAGCAATGGCTGGCTGGCCAGATTTAAGGCGTGGCACGGCATTACCACGAGGACTGTTTCGAGAAAAGGTGCTGCTGCTGACGTGGATGACATGGAGCAGTGGCAAAATGGTCAGCTGAAGAACATCTTGGAAGACTACGCACCTGATGACATCTTTAATATGGATGAATCGGCGCTATTCTATAACCTGCTACCAAACAAAACGCTCGCGTTCAAAGGGGAGACGTGCACCGGCGGCAAGCGTGCAAAAGACATAATATCAGTGGCGTTTTGCGTAAACATGACTGGAACCGACAAAACTCCGCTCCTCGTGATTGAAAAGTCGGCGAAGCCTAGCTAGATGTTTCAAAGCCGCCCGGTTGCCATCAGGGGTCATCTATCGCAGCAACACCAAAGCATGGATGACGACAAAATTCTTTGAGGAGTACGTGTGCCTCATCGATCGTCATTTTGCGGCTAAGAACAGAAGAGTTGTTATTATTTTAGACAACCCTTTGGCACACGTCACCCTGGACAACGTACGGCTGTGAAGTTGGCGTTTCTGCCATCAAACACAACAGCGATTGCCAAGCCCTTGGACCAAGGCATTATTCGAGCTGTAAAACAGCTCTACAAGAAGAATCTGCTGCGCGGATTTCTTCTCGCCATTGAATGTGGCAAATTATACTCCATCGACCTGATTAGAGCGATTCACCTGCTCGAATACTCGTGGTGGCAGGTTGAAGGAACGACAGTTTGAAATTGCTTCAAGCGCGCTGGCTTCTGTGTGTGTGCGGGCGACGCAAATGACGCTAGTGACACCATCGACCAGACTTCAGACATCGTAGACGAAGCTTGCGAAACTCTGCTAGCTGGAGTGGCAGGGCGTTAAGAAAGGCATTTCCTTCGCCGACTTCAGAGACGCAGACAGGGATGCCCATCTTCGGACATGTC